ACCCATGGAAGCAGCAATCAAGAAATCAGATGTCATATTGCACTGGGTAAATCTGCTGCAAAAGGCCTCTTTAAAGTACTGAAGACCAAAGATATCATTTTGAAGACTAAGGTGTGCCTAATCCAAACCCTGGTATTTTTAATCACCTTATATGCATGTGAAAGCTAGACGATGAATAAGGATGACCAAAGAAGAGCTGATGCCTTTGAATTACGGTATTTGTAAAGAATACTGAAAAATACCATGGACTGCCAGAAGATGACAAATCTGTCTTGGAAGAAGTACAGCCAGAGTGCTCCTTAGAAGTAAGAACGGTCAGACTTTATCTCACTTACCTTGGTCATGTTGTCAGAAGGGACCATTCCCTGGAGAAGGGTATCATACTTAATAAAGTGGAGGGTCAGTAATAAAGGGGAAGACCCTCAATGAGATGGACTGACACAGTGGCTGCAACAATGGGCTTAAGTATAGCAAGGATTGTGAGGTTGGCACATGACCAGTCAGTATTTTGTTCTGTTGTACATTGTTCTGTTGCATGTGGGTTTGCTATAAATTGGAACCAACTCTAGGTAATTTCTGTCCCAACTGTAAGGATGAGGATAATGAAAGATAATAAGCAAACAATTACATAACTAACTAAAAACAACCAACCCTTCTGTGGTAATGTAAAAATCTCAAATGTGATACGTTACCTGTAATATGTCTCTATGTCGCTGTAATGTATGCATCAGTGCAGCATTCAAGGAGGGGACACCTGCACTGTTGGTATATTCTGCCATTTTATCATTTACTCCTGTAAGCTGGAAAAAAAAAAAAAAAATGAAAGAAAGCCAAAGCCAATAAAAATATTTCAGACAGCACTAAACCCAAAAAAACCAAAGTCACTGCTGTCGAGTTGGATCTGACTCATAGCAACTCCTCGAGTTTCCAAGGCAGTATCACTATGGAAGTAGATTGCCCAACCTTCCTTCTGAGGAGTGGCTGGTGGGTTTGAACCACCAGCCTTCTGGTTAGCAGTCAAATGCCTTAGGTACTATGCCACCAGAGCTCCCTATATAGCACTAGTTAACAGCTAAAAGAAAATTATTTGCCTATTCTGCTTGCAGGGAAAAAAAAATAAAATAAAACAAGCAGACAGATTCAGGTAAGGATTCAGCATTTCTCCCAAATAAATCATATAAAGGCTAAAATGACACCCTTAGGACCTAGGAATGGCTGTCATCAAAAATCAAATGGCCTGGAGAGGCACATACTTTAAATGAATGGGTGACTTTAATAAATGTGTCTATATTAATATAATCCAGTGCCATGCCTAACAAGCACAGTTATTACCAGAATAGCCATTTAACAAAAAGGACTTACTCTTGCCAAAAGCTGTTCAATCTCAATTGCCATTGTTTCAAACATTCTGTCTTGGCTTGATCCATTTAAAAGCGGTGTTGTGTCAGAACTAAAGAGAAGTTCAATTAAAGGGAATCCATTACTTAATCTTACTCCTTTAAAGGATACTTAAAATAATAAGGTAATTATTCTTGAAGAAGTCAAACAGAACATTCTCTCTCTGTAATTTTTACAGAAGTTTTCCTACAAATCACATGTCCTACAATATTAAATTCAGTATAAAACATAACTGAATGTAAGATTTTCACAAGCTACAAGAAATACATCTGATCTTAGCAACTTAAAGAAATTAAAAATGTTTGTTTCCCAAATGATAGAAAGTAACAAGTTATAATGATGCCCAATTAAATGCTGAATTAAAAAGAATAAATGATATGAAATAAAACTGTATAAATATGTTGTTGTTGTTGTTATGTGCCATCAAGTCCGACCCAACTCATAGCGACCCCTCCTCCTTAGGATTCCGAGACAGTATCACTATGGAAGTAGACTGTCCAACCTGCCTTCCAAGAAGTGGCTGGTGGGTTTGAACCGCCAGCCTCCTGGTTAACAGTCAAGTGCCTTAGGCACTATGCTACCAGAGCTTCCTGTAGAAATATAAAGTACAGCATATAAGAGGATCCAGATTATGTATTAGATCATAGTTTGTAAATGACAAAGAAATTTTCTTTTTATTCCAAAGCAATCAGAGTTCCTTAGACATGAAATTAAGTTCTCACTTCTTTCCTTTACTCTTACCAAGAAGAAATAAAATTGAGGTTTTAATGATCCATAGTTTGAGTATGTAGTTACTGAATACTCAGGAGCTGGCTTTAATTCTAATATAAATAGCCATGTGCAGCTTGAAAATTTTAGTACCAGCCCTCAACATTTCCATTTTACTATGTGATCTTCTCAAGTTTTGTTTTGCAAAAAATATGCTGAACTATCTTTTAGCATCTGAATAGTCAAAAATCTAATTTTTTACAAGTGAAATTTACTTTTGACAGATTCAAATTTTAAAACTGTATGTCCTGAAGATTTCTTCTGCCCCTTCTGAAAAGTCACTAACCTTCATCAGGTTCCCCAGTACCCAGGTGGAAACTGTTGTTTATGATCAAAGGAGCAGCTCTATTATCAAATAAGCAGCTCAGGGCATTATACTGCATTATATGAGTCGGATTTGACTCGACGGCACATAACAACAACAACAATACAGGACACAGCTAAATGTCCAGGCAATGACTATGTTCTGCAATCTTACAGAAGACTTTGTCCTGCCATCTGATTATCCTTGGGTGTGGTAGATGAAATAATCAGTTCAACATCAAAAAGTACCTTAGCTACACCATTTCTCTTCTCCACATATATTCCCACAGCAACAGTAACACCCACCCACTGCCAGTGAGATGATTCCAACTCAGAGACCGTATAGGACAGGGTAGAACTGCCTCCACAGCATTTCCAAGGCTGTAAATCTTTACGGAAGCAGACTACCTCATTGTTCTTCCATGGAGCAGCTGGTGGGTTTGAACTACCGATCTTTTGGTTAGCAGCAGAATGCTTTAACCAATATACCACCAGAGCTTCTGCAGTGGTACCAAGAAATATAATAACCAGAAAGATAATAAGGAGAATTTTTATTTTGAGCTCTAATTAGGTGTAAATTCTTATTTTGTTTTGAAACATTCCAATTGATTTGCCCTAAAATATACCATAAAAATATTTATTCTTTAGTATTTAATCAGAACCAACCCAAGGTTCTGTGATTATCTCCCAGAATGGCCAGGCAAAAATGTTGTATTACTACTACCCACTGCCACTGAATCAATTTTGACTCAAACTGACCCCTGCTGGGTTTCTGAAGCAGTAAATCTTTACAGAAATAGACTGCCCCATCTTCCTTCTGCAGAGTGGCTGGTGGGTTTGAATTGCCAACTTTCTGGTTAGCACTCAAATGCCTTAGGTACTGTGCCACCAGAACTCTTTCTACTACTACTACCACTACAAATTTTCTCCTACCAAACACATGAAAAATAACAACAGGCCAACAGAATATAAGCTCCACAAGGAGGTAAAACGCCATGTCTTATTCACAGATATATGCCTAGCACCTACAATAGTGAACATGGTAGGTGCTCATTAAATTAATAATTGCTGAATGAATGACTGAGTGGCATTCTCTAATGCTAGTCATTCCCACATTCACCAGACATCCCAAGGACAATATATGAGGCCAGAAAAATGGCCAAAAACTCATTCTCCACAATACTAGGATGCAGCTCAATTTAATTCATTTTATAAGTGTGTGATGATTCATGGACCTTGATGTTCTTGGAATACAAAAAGTGGGGAAAAAAAAAAAAAGGAAGAAAAATTTTGACCGTTGTTCAGTTTATTCATTATGACGTACTTCCAACCTTAGCAATAAACAAAACATTTTAGATTGAAGACTGGACATTAATCCTCATGGCCTTCAGTCTTTTAAGGAACAGTTAAGCAAAAATAACAAAATTAGTCCCAATTTGTTTTAGAATTTCTTAGGGAACGTTTTCAAGATAGTTTTTCCTTTGAAGGAATCACAGAAAGCATAAAGCACAGAAGATACAGAAAAAGCAGCATGTAATAATATCTCCTAACAAACAAGAGTTTTAATATTGTAAAACTGACAATAGCCAAGTGGGAGACTTAAATTCAAGAAAAATTCTTTCCAATCTTACAATAAATTTGACAGACAAAATAATTCTTCATTCTCTTTATTTGCTAAGTAAAAATGAAACTAAAGCAACATAATGTAATTAAATCTACCTGACATGCCACTAACTTACTTTCAGGCCACATGAGTCAGTTTGTTGGCCCTGCTATCTTTACAACCACTATCCTGTTATTAAAAAGAAGTAACACTTGACTATAGAGTCAAAATGCTGGAAAGTACATAACATACATAACATAGTAGGGTTTAGAGTATTGGCTCTGGAGATAGAAAGACATAGGTTCAAATCCAAATTCAGTTGTTTTTACTATTACCAGCTGAAAAATACCTCACCTACCACCAATCCTTGAAAAAGTATCTAAAGTAAAGAGTCAATAACAACTAAATACTTTCTACCAGCAATTCCCTCCCAGATATATAGAAACACTGTGAAAAATGTTCCTAACAGTATCTATATAAAGACCTTAGTTCCTGACACATGATAAACACTGTGTCAGCTATTAAAATTATTACTATTATTAATTAGTAAAAAATTAGAAATAATGTCCATCCACAGAATAAACTGTGATACAGTCATGTAAGGTAATATTATATGCTGCAAATGAATACATCAAAGTTAAAGATACCCACAGCTGAATCTCAAAGAGAATGTTGAACAAAAAAGTTATAAAATAGCTATAGCAGGACACTATGAATTATCTGTTGCTGTTATGTGCCTTTGAGTTGGATGACTCATAGACACCCCTCCTTTGGTTTCTGAGGTGGTATCACTACGGAAGTAGATTGCCCAACCTTCCTTCCAAGGAGTGGCTGGTGGGTTTGAACTCCCAGCCTTCTGGTTAGCAGTCAAATGCCTTAGGCACTATGCTACCAGAGCTCCTATGAATCATTTAGGAATACAAAATATGTAGTAAAAATATATGGTGATTATGGGGAGGGAAGAACAGCTATATCTTCAGGGAGGGGTACACAGGGTCTTCAAATGAATTGGCAATGATTATTTTTTTAAATGGGAGAAAGTTACATGGAGTTCCTTATATTATTCTTTATACCTTTCCAAGTGTCTTAAATATTTGCAATATTTTCTGAAACAAGTAGATGGCCTAAAGTGTGCAGATTATTCAAAAATAAGAACACATTTTCCATATGTTCAGTATAATAGTATACTACTACACAGTATACTACTGGTTTCTCAGAAAAGAACCAAAATTATAAACAGTTTGGATTTTAATTTGTAGTGAGGATACAGACTGTCTTAGATTCAGTCTAAAACATCAGAATAGCAATATTTATACTTTGCATTTGGGTAGTTCCTCATTTCCATTTAGCAATTAGAAAATATAAGGAATACAATGTGGCCAAAACCACATTTCCTCATACTGGCTGAACTAGAATCTCTTATTTCTGATACAAACTCACTGATAACACCTAGCATTATCCTGCTGACACTGTCACAACTTTTGCTTAAGGATTCTAAATAAATGCTAAGGATCTTAATAAATGCTAATCTCAAGAATTAAGAAACATTTTAATAATGATAAAAAAATTCACTAAACAGACCAAGTTACAAAAGTTATATATATATTTTTTAATGCTTTAATAACATTATATAGTTTAAGGCATAAGAGACAGAATCTGGTAGTACCTATACCTGTCGCGTCTTCCATCTCGGGCACTGCTGTGACTGTAACTTGTGCACAGTTTACTAAAGGAAACTAGTTTCAGGTCAAGTTCATTTTCCAACTGTCGAGCCTGTTTCCTGAGATCTTCAGCAAAAGTATAAAATGAAATAATTAGACATAAAAAGTCCATCAACAGACATGTAAATCACAAAACTATTCTGAATAAAATAAACTCCAAAAATGATCAATTATTGGTCTCAAAAAAACTCACTGCCATCAAGTTGATTCTGACTTATAGTGACCCCATTGGGGTTCCGAGGCTGTTGGGGTTCAATGTTGTAAATCTTCCTAAAAGCAGATTGTCCCATCTTTTTTCTGCAAACTGGGTGGTGGGTTCAAACCACCGACCTTTTGGTTAGCAGCCAAGTGCTTTAACCACTATACCACCAGAGTTCCTATTATTGGTCTAGTTCCCCAAAAGAGAAAAGTGTTAAAAAGAAAGAAACCAAATACACAAACCAAACCCACTGCCAATGAGTTGATTCCAAATCATAGCAAAATTTTAAAGCAGAATAGAATTGTACAATAGGGTTTCCAAAGCTGTAAATCTTTCTGGAAGTAGACTGCCTATCTTTTTCCCATGGATCAGGTAGTAGGTTCAAACTGCTGACTTTTAGGTTAGAGCTGAATGCCCATTACACCATCGAAGTTCCTTAAATACTTAGCCAAGAAAGTAAATTAGTACTTGAATGGAGAGGTGAGGGGTAGCAGTGGGAGATATAAATTTTCAACTTTATTCCAAAGACAGCTATACAATCACAAGATGCTGTTCTAACATTTCTAAAGTTATTTCTCCTGTAATAACCACAATTTTGTAATTCAGAGGAAAAAAGAAGAAAGTACAAATCACAAAGAAATTAAATATGGTTTTCAGCCTGGCCAGTACTGTATCAACTTACCAGCTAACTTTAGAAAAAAAAAAAAATCACTGTTTTGACAGGGATTTTGCTAATTATATTCCAAAGTTTTATAAAACTAATGAAATTATTTTCTTAATAGTTGAATAACTTACTGATGGAACATAAAGAAAAAGCAAACATCATTGGCAAAGATAAACAATTGTCTTTCAATATGCTTACTGAAAGAAATTTGGAGAGGATGAAACTAACAATAAACAATCTGGTACTGATAAGATAAAATATGAATATGATGGAAATAAAAGCATACATTTTTAAGAAGGGAAGAAAGCAGAGAAATTGATACCGTAGTTTGAGTTCTAAGTGGCTGAGTGAGAGAAGCCACAGTCTAGAAACCCACATCTAGATGCACTTACTCTCATTCATGGTGAAGTGTTGGTTAAAATAAAAAGGGCTGAATATAGGAAGGATCTCATCTTTCAAGAATAAGGAATACAAAACATTATTTCAATATACTTATCAGAAGTAGAAAGCAGAATAACATAGTGGAGCATATTTGCCCATAGACCAAATCCCAGTTCAAAATCTCAGCTCAGCCAATTCATACTGAGATTGATCAGCAAGAACTCTGGCTTTCTGTCGTTCAAACCCATACCTTCAGGGTTTTTCTATGCATTAGTATCATAGGCTGAAAGCACCTGGCACAGAGTAGGCTGTCAATGAGTGGGTTTTTTTGTTTTTATACAGCATAGTAAGGAGCTTTGGTAGCACAGTGCCTAACACCAGAAGGTTGGTGGTTCAAACCCACCAGCCACTCTGTGGAAGCAAGACTGGGCAATGTACTTCCTTAAAGATTTACCCTCTCCGAAACCCAGAGGGGGTCTCTGAGTCAGAGTCAACTCGATGGCAGTGGGTTTGGTTTTTGTTTTTATACAACATAGTGCTTTAAAAACCATATCCTAAAGATTAGATTGATACAGTGGCTGCCATAATGGGCTCAAGCAAAGCAAATTATTTTGAGATTGGCGCAGGACAGGGCAGTGTTCTGTTCTGTTGTAGTAGGATCTCTATGAGTCAGGGCCCACTCAACAGCATCTAACACCACCACCAAAGACTAGTTTCAAAGATACCAGTAGCCACTTCTTTACAATTTGAAAATGTTTTCCAGCTAAAACTCACATTTCAAAAGGGCATTTTAATATATCTTTTAAACTAATTATAAAGATGCTTCTCTATAACTTTAATAATTATCTTCTCTAATGTAAAGCATCAAGTGAAAGTATTTTGAAAATGTTAACAGGCAAGTACAGAAACAATAAGACTTTTCTTAGACCAAGTAGCTGATAGTTTGTTTTTTTTAAAGCACACTGATGTTTTTGTATGTCTGTACACATACACATACACACTTGTGTTTTCCTAAGGCTTCACTAGGGAGAAATAGGAAATGGGTCAAAAGGGGAGAGTGATTCGGAGAGCAGTTTTAATGCTGCAGCACCGCAGAGAGAGAGTTGAAAACAAAAGGGGAGACTTTTCTGACCTCTGTTGATCATCCCTGCCCTGGAACGAGTCTTACATGAGCCCACTTTATCCGACCATATGTTCACGAATGCACTTGTCAAATCAAACTGGTTCTCTCCACTTTCTCTTGAACAAATCCGATCCTAGACTCCAGGGCAGAGGCTAGGGCAAAGTTATTTCCTCTGCCTTCTAACACGACTCGACATTCAATCCTCGATGTCCCCGCATGAAGCAGCCAAGGGGACCCAATAGGCGACATTCGCTCAACTTTCCGGATGGACTGGACTGACAAATCTCCTTTCCTAGCTCCCTTCTCTCTGCCTATTCTGTTTTCCAACAGAGACTTTATCTCCAAGGCACAGACTCTTCCAGTCTCACCGGCTCGGGACCTTCTTACTCAACACCCGTTTCCTCTCATAGTTCGGACCCCAAGCCCCTACGTCCAAGTTCCGCTGTTCCCTCAACCTAGTTCTCTTTCAGCGACTCAGGCTCCTCTTCCTTTTTGTCCTCTCTGTCTACTCTGCCCAAACCTTGTCTCCGGTCCGGCTCACTCGGCCGCGTCAGGAGCCGCTGCCTCAGGCCAGCCCTCTGCTTCAGAATGTCCAGTCTCCTCAGCTCCCAGGCCCCTGGGCTCCCACAGACAAGTCCCGCCCTTCAGCTCGGCCGCTCCAGAGGTACCGCTCTCTCCTTTGCTGCCTCCCCCAAGACCCGTTCTTGCTGAACCCCTCAGCCCCACGGTGGGACACCCGGAGGCCTAATTCTCACCTTCCCAGTAATTGCTTGTTCCTGCCGCCATTTTTGTTGTCCAACGTCAGTCGGGATAGGACAGTAGAGGCGACAGGCGCTAGAGAGCCACTTCCACGCCTGCTTCCGCCCTGGGCGCCAGGGCCGATGGGATATGTGAGCCTCCAAAGATACCGCCACTTGGCGGTTAATTAATTATTTTTACGGCTTTTGACGAGTAAAGAGCTGAGAACGTTAGCATTAGTAACTTGAGTTTTTGAGTTTGTTAAACAGATCCTGCCTTTCTTTCATTCCCCACCAGAAAGCAGGAGAGAGCTGTCTTGCCTTCTCTCCCTCTTCTTTGTGAATCAGTGGTCACCAAGATCCCTTACTCCTTATGTTGTAAATAGCTCCTATACCCTGTCTAGGGAGCTCTGGTAGCATAGTGGCTAAGGCACTTAACTGCTAATCAGAAGGCTGCCGGTTTAAGCCCAACAGCCGCTCCTAGGAAGGAGAATGGGGCAATCTGCTTCCACAGTGATACCGCCTGTCGCTATGAGTCGGTCCGACTCCACGGCACATAACAACAACAGTAACTGATGCTACCAGAGCTTCTTTCTGGGTCTCACAATCCGCTCTTGGCACCTCAAACCATCATCACCCTCAACCTAGCTAATCTCCTTCTCTCAGATGGTGCTTATTTGACTGAGAGGAGAGTTATCCTCAGACCGAACTCCTTCAACTTCCCTGGCCTCCTCTCATAATGTGGAATTTCAGCCAGACTCCTCTTCTCAGTGCCAAAGCCTCTTCCTCCTCCCCTCCAAGGCCAACCCCTCATCCTTATCTCAGCCTGTGCGCCGTCATCCACAATTTCTGGCAAATATGCTTTTCTCCCGTGGCCACATTTCCTGTCTTAACAGTAGTTACGGTTCCAACCTTTTATTTCAGCCACCTGATAGAAATTTCGTTGTTGTTGCTGTTGTTAGATCCCATGCAGTCGATTCTGAGTTACAGCGACCCTGTGTACAACAGAATGAAACAACGCCTGGTCCTGCGCCATCTTCACAATTGTTGCTGTGTTTGAGCCCATTGTTGAGGGGCTCATTGTCTGGCACTGTATCAGGCAATGTCCTGTTGCTATTCATAAGATTTTTCACTGGCCATTTTTTTTTCCCCCCAGAAATGGATTGCCAGGTCCTTCTTCCTGGTCTTAGTCTGGAAGCTGCTTGAAACATGTTCACCATGGGTGACCCTGCTGGGATTTGAAATATGGGGTGGCATAGCTTGCAGCATCACAGCAACAGACAAACCACTACAGTATGACAAACTGACAGACAAGTGGTGGAATCAAAACGTTATCTCCTTCAAAGTCTTGTTGTTAGTTACTGTCTAGTCAATGGGACTCATGGCAACCCCATGTGTGCAGAATGGAACTGCTCCACAGGGATTTCAAGGATGCGCTCTTTCTGAAGCATATTGCCAGGCCTTGTCTTCCAAGGTGCCTCTGGGTAGGTTCAAATCACCAACCTTTCGGCTAGTAACTATTTGTGCCACCCTTTACCTACTCCCATTTATAATTGTGTTTTACTATTTCCTCTGCATTCACTGAGACCACATTAGACCATGTTACAAGTTTTGCTTCAACTATGAAACATAATATAGAAAATTCAAGAGAAGGAAATCTCCTTGAAACCTGTTCACCATGAGTGACCCTTATGGCCTATTTTTTTTACTCATCCCACTGTTCTTTTCTCCTTCCTGATAGTCCAGAATTCCTTATTTTATTATTTTGTTTCAAGAACCCCCTTTTAGCCATTCTTTTAGAGTAGGTCAGCTGGTGATAAATTCTATTCATGTTTCTTTGTCTGAAAATGTCTTGACCACCATCCCCCCCCCAATCCTAAAAGATGTATTTTTGTCAGATACAGATAGGGTTGTCAGTTCTTGAAAAACTTTGTGTCATTCATTTCCTTCTGGCCTCTATGGATTCTCATGAATTGTTATTTGACCTGTTGTACCACTATAGCTTTTCAGATTATGGTGTGTCTTTGAGTAGATTTTCTGAATTTATCCTGTTTGGGGTTTGCTCGGCTTCTTGACTCTTAGGTTTCTGTCATTTACCAAAGTTGGGACATTTTTAGCCATTATTTCTTTGAATACTCATTTCTATCCTATATGCTTTTTCCTCTCCTTCTGAAACTCTGATGACATGAGTGATAGATCTTTTGTTACATGTTGTTTCATAAATCCTTGAGGGTCTGCTCTTTTTTTTTTTTTCTTTCAGTCTCTCTCTTGTTCAGATCGGGTAATTGTTACTGCTTTATCTTCACATTGACTCTTTCCTCTGACCCCTCCACCTCCATTCTGCACTTAAGCCCATCCACTGAGGTTTTCATTTCAATTACTGTATTTTTGAGATCTAAACTTTACATCTGGCTCTGCTGTTACTGGCTGTTATTTCTTTGCTGAGACTTTTTTTTCCCCCCCCCATTTGTTTGTAATTGCTCATTGAAATTTTTTTTAAAAACATTTTATTGTGGTTTGGGTGTAAGTTTACAGAGCACATTTATTTCCTATTCAACAATTTATATAAATATTCTCTCATAACATTAGACGCAATCCCCTCAATGTAACTGCACTTTTCCTACTTCCTTCCGGGTTCCCTGTTTCCATTTCTCCTTCTTTCCTGCCTTCTGAACTTTTGTTTTTTTTTGAAAATGCTGCCCTTTTTGGTCTCATATAGTTGAATGTTCTGAGGAGTTATGTTTCTTATGGGTGTTATTGTTCACTTTTTAGGCCTATTTTTTCACTGAAAAGTGATCCCTAGGGTTGGTTCATTGAAGTATTTTAATTATTAAAAAAACACCATTGAATCAACCTTGATTAATGGTGCCCCAATGTGTGTCAGAGTAGAACTGTATACGATTTTCAGTGGCTGAGTTTTTGGAAGTAGATCACAAGGCTTTTATTCCAATTTTAATGATCAAACAAAAAACCAAACTCACTGCCATCAAGTTGATTCTGACTCATACCAATCCCCACTGGGTTTCCAAGACTGTACACCTTTACAAAAGCAGACTGCCTCATCTTTCTTCGGTGGAGTAACTGGTGGGTTCAAACCACTGTCCTTTTGGTTATCAGCCAAATAAATGCCTTAACCACTACACCACCAGAGCACCTTTCAATTTTAATGATAGGTGCTTTAAAATCCTTGTCAGAAAATTCCAGTATTAGTGTCATCTTGATGTTGGCATCTGTTGTTTTCACATTCAAGTTGAAATTTTCTAAGTTCTTAGTATAGTGAGTGTATTTGTACTGAATCTTGGATATTTTAGGTAGTAAGGTATGAGACTGAATCTTACCTAAATCTTCTGTTTTAGCAGGCCTTCTCTGATACTGTGCTGCCAGAGGAATGAGGTAATTGCCTTGCTCCTGCCAGGTGGGGATTGAAGTCCAGGGTCCTCCTTGGCCTCCACTGACACCCTGGGTATATATGGGGTGCCTCATAGCCCCTCAGCAGGGAGCATTACCACTGGGACGTAGTAAAAGCCATGGATCCCCACTCCTTTGATTCATGCAGGAGGGGGAGAATGCCACGTGACAGCAATGTTATGGACTGAATTGTGTCACCAAAAAATATATGTTGTAAATCGTAGCCTGTATGCCTGTGCATAACCAGGCAGAATGGGTTGTTATTCTAACGAGGTGGGGTTAGTGTAGGGTGTCTTAAATCAATCTCTTTAGAGATACAAGAGATTAAACAAGCAAGCGAGCAAGCAGAGATGGCAGAGGAAAGATGCCAAGCCACATGAAGATTGTCCAGTAGAAGCTCAAAACAGACAAGGACCTTCCTCCAGAGCCAATAGAGAAAGCAAGCCTTCCCCCCAGAACCAGCACCCTGAATTTGGACTTCTAGCCTCCCAAGCTGTGAGAAAATAAATTTGTTAAAGCCATCCACTTGTGGCATTTCTGTTATAGTAGCACTAGATAGCTAAGACGAGCTAGGTGAGAATGGAAGTCGAGGTCCCCACTCAGCGTCTGCTGGCAGTGGGGAGTGGGGTTCAGTTATTTCTGTGGCATTTAGCTGGAGTTGTGCAGTTACTGTCTGAAAGTATTCTGTCTTTCTAGACTATCCCTTTCCTAACCTTTGGCTACAGATTTTTTGGTCTGTATCCTTTGGCATTGCCAGGTCACCGGCTTTTCCAGTGCCCTTTATGGGAGAAAAAAAAAAAGAAAAAACCCAGGTAACTCAACACCACGTTGTTCATTGGATCTGAGGGCCCTAAGCTGGTCTATTATCTTCTCTCCACCTTTCAGAGACTTATTTTTGTTTTATTTGTAATGTTCAGGGTGTTTGTGCCACTCAGTGGAAGAAAAAGAGAAAAGTACATCTACTTCATCTTGTCTAGAACCAAAAGTCTCCATTTAAGTTTTTTAATAGATTTTAATTCTCCGTACAGGGTCAGTGAAAAAGAGGAAGACCCTCAATGAGATGAACTGACACGGTAGCTGCAACGAACTCAAACACAGGAATGATTATGAGGATGGCACAGGCTCTGGCAGTTTTGTTCCGGTATATACAGGATTGCGGAGTCGAAACTGACTTGATGGCACCTAATAATTCTATGCTCTAATTTTTCATCTAGTCTTCTACTTTTTTGAATTTATTCATCATTTTAAAGTTGATTAATAGCTCAAAAATGTTTCTATTACCTTTTTAATTTTTTTTTTTTTTTACCATTTAATCTTTTTTGATATTAAGCCTAACTCTTGGTTAGATGCAGTATATTATGGACAAAAATGTATAGTAAACATCTGATGCTTTGGATGATATTGTCTTTTTTCATAGAGAATTTACCACTGCTTCTTGCAGGCAGCTTAGGTAGGGGAGGATCACCTTCATCCAGTATGGGGTGGAAGTAACCCTATGTTTGTAAATTTGGTCCATTTCTGGTTAGCCTTTCTCCTAATGTGTAGCCATACAAGTTTCCTACCTGAAGCTTTGTGGTTCAAAGATGGTCCCTTAAATCGTATCTGTCCCTTTAAGTTGTGCTTGCTTTTAAGTCCCTTCCCTCTATAGTAGTTTGTGCTCTGATATG